GAGGGCCTTGCTAAATTCAGAAACTACAGATTCGGATTCTACGGATTTCACAGAATTTATTTTCCACTCAGACTGGTGATATCAACCTGTTTCAACTCGCTAGTAAAAAGCTGTACAAGACTCTTGTAGAGGATATACACGTACCCCCCACTGCCAGACTTAATTGACTAAAATACAACTCCATATACAACAACAACCAAGATTTTAACTGGAAACAGATTTATTTAATACCACACAAAGTGACTTAATTATGATATAAGAACAAGACGTTTTCAATACAAATTGCTTAATCGCATTGTATATACCAACAAACTCTTATATAAAATAAAGTTATTGGACACTTCATTGTATACGTTTTGTGGCGAGCATGAAGAATCCCTGGAGCATTTGTTTTTACACTGTCAATTCAGCAAAAACGTTTGGATGCAAATTGTTTCCTGGTTGAATGAATTTAATATTACCAGGAAAGCTGCCCCTGCTTTCTTTTATTTCTACTGATTGAAAACAATTGAACATTATTGTACGAACTAAAACTTCTATGTGTTTTTTTTGTAAACTTTATCACTCATAATGTTCCTATAACTTAGGCGTCTTATCATCATGATGGTTATTATCCAAACATTCAACTAAGTGAACTAAACCAACACTTTCTATTTGACTCATTCCATTCCAGACAGCCGGTTTTTTTTTTTTTTTTCATTTGAAAGGAGACAAAAAGTACTTTCTGAAGAAAGTAGTTCAATCAAGCAATCCTTCATGGGAACTAATATTTAAGTTACAAAAACTTCACTCAGTAGAACTAAAGAAAAAAGCTTAAAAAATTATAGAGAAACAAAATATTATGTCAAACCACTCTGCTGTTTGAATTTGATGATGAAACAAACCATTTTTCTTCTTATAAGAGCAAACATATCTAGAAAGCAGAGAGCAAAGNGACTTTTTCAATACAAATTGCTTAATCGCATTGTATATACCAACAAACTGTTATATAAAATAAAGTTATTGGACACTTCATTGTGTACGTTTTGTGGTGAGCATGAAGAATCCCTGGAGCATTTGTTTTTACACTGTCAATTCAGCCAGAACTTTTGGATGCAAATTGTTTCCTGGTTGAATGAATTTAATATTACTAGGAAAGCTGCCCCTGCTTTCTTTTATTTCTACTGATTGAAAACAATTGAACATTATTGTACAAACTAAAACTTCTATATGTTTTTTTTTGTAAACTTTATCACTCATAATGTTCCTATAACTTAGGCATCTTATCATCATGATGGTTATTATCCAAACATTCAACTAAGTAAACTAAACCAACACTTTCTATTTAACTCATTCTATTCCAGACAGCCGGGTTTTTTTTCATTTGAAAGGAGACAAAAAGTACTTTCTGAAGAAAAGAAAGGTTTCCTTCATGGGAACTAATATTTAAGTTACAAAAATTTCACTCCGTAGAACTAAAGAAAAAAGTTTAAAAAAATTATAGAGGAACAAAATATTATGTCAAACCACTCTGCTGTTTGAATTTGATGATGAAACAAACCATTTTTCTTCTTATAAGAGCAAACATATCTAGAAAGCAGAGAGCAAAGCAGTTGAGAAAATCATCTGGAACTTGCTGTCACAATTTTTTTCTGAGACGGGTAGGAGGAGGAAGCACCCAGCAAAGAAAAGGCCTTTCTCTGCAATTCCCCTCTACCTCTACCCTCTTGCTAAGAAAGGCCTGATACTCAGGTTAGTAACAGAAGTATCACGTTACTGTCACTGCTCTAATCTTTAA